ATAACTCAAGTCGAGTTGGATACGTTCATATCGGAGTTGATCTAAGCTCTTCTAGTCATACTTCGAAACTACATATAATGGCCAAGTGATTTACCATTAGTTTAACTAGAGTATTCAGAAGAAACAATATAATTGTTATTGACCAGCTTGTTTAATGCAATTACAATAGCTCTATCAGCTTGGATACATGAAGGAGAAAATTATTGGCATGCAACCAAAAGGCAATAGGATGGAACATTACGGTTACTTAAAGTCTCTGCTCCCTCTTGCTCCTACTTTCCAGGCTTGGATGATGGTATCAAAACCATTTGGTGGGGTCGTTTGTCCTATAATAGTAACTATGTTGGTGAGAACTGAAACTTATGATCCCACAAATAACACCAATATTCTTAGTTGACCCTTCCTCCCATGGGCTTAGGTGTTCACAATGTCATGGTCCTAATGCAATGCTTACCCTTCTCCACAACAATTGTGGAAACTTTCAAGGATCTCCAATATTCAAGTCAATGAATATATTAGATTGAAACAATGTACAAGAGAATAAAAGATAGTAGATAGATATGAACTCCCTATCTCACGTGAAACAATTAAGGATTTAGGGACAATGTTTTGTAAAAAAAACACTAAAAAGTATTATGATGTCTTTTTGATCCATATAATCAACTTCATCTAGTGAAAAAAGATTGATTATAATTACAAATAACTGGCATCTCATCAACCCTATATTTAGCCACAAATGCAGAGAATTTTCACTTTTTGATTGTCATTTATGTTTAACCATGCCAGCAAACTTGTGAATCTTGCATTATTTGCACAAGTTTTGAAAACTGCAAAATTCTCTTCCAATTAAATTTTGAAAACTCATTATTGGGGCCTGTGTCATATTATGGCTAAACATACAACAGTAATTATGTTCAAATCCAGTACAATTGTTAGTTACTAAGGATGATGACAGGCTCATTGAAGAAGAGAAGAACACAGTTGATTGTTGTGCAAGCAATCTGATTAAGAGTTTTCTAGTCTAAGTTATGTTGATATATTGTTTGTGACTTAGATATTATTTTAAATAACTGATGTATACAAAGTTTTTCAGCTTTGTATAGTGTTGATTTGACCTAGTTAGTTATTTAACTAACTTCCTATATAAATAGCTTTGTAATGATTGGATTGTTAATTAACGAGAATATCCAAATCATTCACACTTTTCAAACAAGAAAATGTAGGAATTGGTCTAAAATTATTCAATTCTTGCCACAAGCCTTTTAGATGAGTGAAATATGATCCTATAGACATGTTGCGTTGCCTATAGTATAAATTTCACCAAGTAATTTAGAAATACGAAAGATGGCTCCCTAATAATACCTTTCACGAAAGTCTTGCCAAATCTCAAAAGCTGCTTCCATCCACAATATGCTCTGCACAATGGAAGCATCTATGGATTGAGTCAACCAGGAAATCACTAAAGTGTTGCATCTGTCCCATACATGGAAGGTTGAATCATCCAGTGAAGGTTTGGGAAGAGATACATCGATAAACTGTAGCTTATTCTTCGTTTTCAGAGACATAGCCATGGCACGTGACCATCCATGGTAGTTATCACCATTCAAGACAGTTGAGACGAGAATTGCTCCAGGATTCTCGTTTGGATGCATAAAGAAAGGGAAGGAAGGATGTTGAATAAAATTCACAACATTCATCATTCGATTATCCATTAATCAACACTAGGTTGAAAAGTTGCAGAAAACAGAGAATGAAATCAAAGAAAAACTATGCATGCCAATTTTACAGTTGTAAAGATTCAGTACTATTTGAGCAGCACCTGTTTTATTCATACAGCAACAGAGCTATAGATGTAACCTGATCAAAACTTTTCAGATCAGGTAGAAGCAATTTAATGTACAGCATTCAGGATCTCGATCCTATAGGACATTTGCTGATAGAAACCTGAAATAGCAGAGTGATTTTCCATAACAATGATTAATCAGAAATCTTGCTTACCAAAAAGAAGAAAGGCATAGAATATTAAATTAGAAAGGAGTATTTACTGACGAAAATTCTCAACATCGAAAGATATATTAAACCAATTCACAAAATATCCTTATCAATGTTCCATCGTTTTCATTCTAGTCATTATTGGAAGCTCTCTGATTCCACCTTAACCTTGTCACCAATAATTGGGCTAGAAAAGTTCCTTCCTATAAAATCTGTACATATTACACAAGTTCAACTCCACATAGCACCCACCAATCCAATGGATTATGGAATGGAACACATGGAATACTCATAGACATTGGAAATTTATGGCCGATGGTAACTTCTTTATGACAACAATTTGTAAGTAAACTATTCACGGCCACTCTTTTAACCAAGACAAAACAAATATTCCACAAAATTAGTCTAAGAAAGACACGGTAAAATGAGCTAATCAACACCAAGGCCATCAAATAAGTTGGCATTGACTGTGTTTACAAATTAGAAGTAATGATAACAGATAGCAGCAGAAACTGAAGACTTGTTGAAGACAATTATCCAATTTAACCACTCCTACTCCTTTTCTACGTAGGTTCCACTAGACACATTCATTTCATTCCGCTTCTTTCATTAATTTCCATCAATCCAAACATAACCAATAAAGCATTATAATAACACATACACAAGAAAAAAACAGAGGATCCCTAAAAAACAAGAGTACAATACCTCGTACACAAATACGCCATATGCATCAAAATTGGCGTGCTCATCATCATTAGTGTCACAATGTGACAGAACAACACTGCACGATGGAGGAGCCTTTAGGAACACAAAGAACCTTCTCAATCCAACCAACTTCACCCAACAATTCTCCATTAGTACCATCCATTTTGACCTCAATCTCAGCACACCAAACTTCCATCTCCTTCCCATTCCCATCACACTCCCAAACCACGACTAATTTCCCGCCAACATTCGCCATTGTAGCGCCACACAAAAACCTCGGCAACAAACCCTTCCCCAACCCTTTCACCTCCTTCCACACCCCACTCCTCACATCAAAACCCTTGATCTTCCCCAAATAATCATAGCAATACAAAACCTCATCAACTACACACGCCCTCCCCCTCCACCCATTATCAAGCTCCATTTCCACGCTCTCCCACGCGCCACTCCTGGGATCAAACACCATCCCACCACGGTCGGCCATCGCGTAAAACTTCCCACCCAGTACAGCACTCGCGTGCATCCACTTTTCCCGAAACTCGACCGGGCTCGCCACGCGCTCCCACCGGTTCACAACGGGGTCGAAAACTTCAGCCCACGCAGCAGAGCGTGACCACGTGTCAGCCACGCAGCCACCAAGAACATAGATCTTACCGTCAACAACACCAGCAGCAGGGAACTCACGCGCGACGCGCATGTTAGGACCAGGGATCCAACGGTGGAAGCGGCAATCAAGAAGCCAAACATGATTACAAGGAATGTCATTGTGGGACCCACCGATAACATAGATGGTGGGTCCCAGGACAGCATAAGCGGAGCCAACAGAAGGAGAAGGGATGGGAGGGAGGGGGACGAGGTAGCGGCGGTTGGTCAAGGGGTTGAGGTGAAGCGTGAAGTGCTGCAAGGGATTGGCGCGTGGGCGAAGGGTGAGGTAGAGGAGGTGTTCGACGGCGGAGCGGGCGGAGAAGAAGAGAGGGGAGGAGAGGAGGGAGTGGATGGGTTTGGAGAGGAGAGAGAGGGTTGGGTGGTGAGAACGAGGAACACGTGAGAGACAATTAATTGCCACGTCATCAGGGAGGGATGGGATAAGGTTATGAGGAGTTTCTGATTCTTCTGATGAAGGGGAAGAAGACAACATGGTGTTGCTACTTTCTACAATTCTGCTTCTGCTTTTCTTATTGTCACTATCAACTCAACTAGGAAACTATGTCATCTCTGATTCTTTTAACAAATTATTTTGTATATAATTTTACCAAGTGTGTCAATTTTGTTTCCCCTCTGTTAGTTTCGTCGTGGAACAACCTTCAACCTGGTTAAACTCATATTTCGAAAAGGAAATAGAGGTTGGATAAATTATATAAAGGTTCTTGCGACTAATGTGTTTACATGGACGTTGACTAATCAGATGTATTATCATTTTGAGGTGACCTATGGGTGGTACCCCAAAATCGATTAAGTATGAAAAAGTTATTTTTGATTCTTGTGTATGAAGCTTCTAGTCTAGGAAAAAAAATTTTAAAGAGGAGTACTCGCCGTAACAAATATATATTGGTAGTGAACACCAAATTATGTGTGGGGATGCTGAACCTCAAAAACTTATTTTGGATCGGGAGTGTCTCAGTGTACGGTTGGGGTAAATGGTAGAACCTTTACCATAGTGTTGATATGCGCAATGACGTCCTAGCTGGATTTAATCCTGGAAATGGACTAGCGGTCAGCAAATCGTGTTATGTTTAACTATGTGAAATTGTTGAGGTGAAGATTTAAATTTGGTATGCATTGATATGTATTTGTATGCTAAAGGGGTAAGACTTATGCTGATAATCGAGGAAAGAGGCTAGTCGAGTTGTTTACCCCGTTGATGTGATGAATACATTTATCTCAACCTGGTTAATTTTACACATTCTCTTTAATTATTAAATTATCTTATAACTCTTTTTTTTAATTTGATATGAGTGAAATTCGACCGAATAAAGGCTTAGTCAATAGAGAAGATCCTCGTTTAGAGTGTCATAATTTATTTATAGGTTAAATAATAAATATAATTTTAGTTAAAATATATTATTAAGGACACATTAGAAAGTCATGTTAACCCTAAATTATACCAACAAGATTTTGGTCAAGTATTATAAAACCTCACCAAAACTCTAAAGATTTAACTATTGTTAACGATACTTGTAGAAATAGAAAATGATGCACTACAAGATATTAATTATTTGCTCATAAGATGGGACGAAGTCATCCATTCTAAAATGAATTAAATGTTTTTATGGATTTATTTTTTAATTCTAACAATGGTATCCCGTCACTATTTTTTCATATTAACCGGAATCAACAAACGGTAGACATTTGGTCTTATTTGTAAATGTCTGCAACCGATAAACATGTTGAGATGGCCGAGTTGGTCTAAGGCGCCAGATTAAGGTTCTGGTCCGAAAGGGCGTGGGTTCAAATCCCACTCTCAACATGCTCTTTTTTTCCCAGGGGATAGGACATTTAGCATCTTGCACACTTTCTGCCAAATTTCTTGGGTTCTTATCCTTTGTGAATCACATAAAGAAATCAATGTTTTAATTCATACAATAATTTGAGAAATTTGTTTCACATCATTATTCCAAACTCATCATGCATTAATTAAAATTATTTCCAGTTCTTTTCTTTGAGGAACCTTCTTAACATAATGCAACCCACCTTTACTTGATCAGAGCATCATGCATACTCTAGCAACTTGAGAATAAAAACTTCCATACTCAAAGCAAACTCTTCCTGTTGATTATCAAAGAAGAATTTCCATATTCAAAGCCGGCCATACATCGAAAGCATCTCTTTAAGTCTGTCTGCCTCTTTCTCCAAGCTATCAAAGCTCACAGAACTTGCAATTCTCCAACCCCAGTTTCCAAACTACATAGGCCATGGCCCATGAGATCAACAATTTCAGGTTATTCCCTTTCTTTTCAGGCTGCATAAACAAACTTTGCTAATTCAAACTACGAACACTTCGCATAGACTTTTACCTGAGTCGCAGGAGTATTCATCCTTGCAGAACTTCCCAGTCCAAGAACATCTTGCATAGGTATTATTGCTGTTTGAGCAACCGAAGCTAGTGCTGTCTGGATTAGAGCCCATGAAATGTCATCTTTCTCCGTTAGTGAAAGGTAACTTAATACCTGAAACATATAAACAAAGAACAAGATAAACTATAATCCATCTTACTGAAAAATAGCTTTTCACTACTAAATATAGCACCCACATTGGATTTCTCTTCTGCCTTCAAAGCTTCCCACCAACCTTTAATCTGAAGCATCAGAGAAATATCTTATCAAGCATTATTATGGCTGATAGGTAATATTTTTTTAAATCATGAAGAAAATAAGGAAATAAAGCAGCCAAGAGATATAATAAACTATAACAGTTGGTCACACGCATTAGCAAATCTTAGACTGACTTCTACACTGCAAATCAACAATGCATACCCAGGTTTTTTTTGTAAGATTGACTTGCATCATCGGCAAACATATGGTAAAAGAAATACTTACAGTGTCATTGTCATGAGTCCCTGTATAAACAACTTGATTGCACTCCTGATTATGAGGCAGATGAGGGTTACCAGCATCACCTCCAAACCCTGGATAAAGTAAAATAGATTAGAAAATGTTCATGAACCGGGACTTGCATTGCTTTAGAGTATGATGTTGATGGATCGTTTAATAACTACCAAACTGGAGAACAGCCATTCCAGGTGCTCCAATAGACTTTCTTAGTTGGACTACATCTTCAGTGATAACTCCCTGCCATAAATCACAAACCCAAAAAATTACAAGAGATGCCTCAGCAAGAGTCATATGTGAATGAAAAGTAGGGTGTGCAGAAAACAATGTGTGAACAAACCAAACCACAAAAGTAACCGAACTTGTAAAACAATTTATGAGCCAACTTTTCCTTGAACACATGGCATGGCCCTATCTAATTCGAGAAGATAACTACACTTGGTTAATAGTTAACTTCTAAATCTAATACTTTACTTCATGAAATTTAAGTCCTATTAATTGGTGTCTTTCTTTAAGAGTTGTGACATGGAAAGGGCTACCTATAGGTTGTATTAAGGTATATTATCGAATATTGATAGGTGAGTGAAGCCGGCAAAAAGAGAAATGGCTACTATCAGGTCAGTGTCGTTAGAGTGAAAGCCGCCGTGGACATCGCCCTTAAAGGGGGCGGCAATGTTAGGAGTCCCACATTGAGTAGAATTGCAAACTCAATGTGGTACTTAAGCCATGAGGTTCTCCCACCTAATAGACTAGTCTTTTGGGTTGGACTCTCCTCATGTGCTTAAGTCCTAACAATATGATAATAACAATACTAACCAAGTGAAGAAAAACTTCTTCCTGCACTGTCCAAAACGTGAGCAATACTTTGAAAAAGCACACATGCTCACTAATATTAAATCTCAAATGGGAAACTATGGTTTTACTCAAATAAGAAAATAACTTGTTTTGTTACAATGCATAAAAGATTTCAGCTAGTTCATAAAACTCACATCACACACTCTAATGTGGTAGAAGACTGTGTCCAATTAATAAAATCCACATCACAGTTTAAGCAGATGAATATGTATTCAACTTTTCCAAAAAATGTTTTTTGATATTTTGATGAATAGTAGAAATGAAAAGAGTAAAGATGAAGAGGTTAACAAGATTGGGGGCTACGTTTCATTTCTGAAGCAATGGGTTGGGTTCTGATCTCGTTTGGCTGTTGTATTTGGTAAGTATAGGCTCATCGTATTGCAATAGCAACAGGTTTGGATTGGTAAACCATTTTGGAAAAATGGTTCGGTTGGTCAATTGGTTTACAAGTTTGGTTAAGTACACTTTTAAATTTGATTTGATTCACAAAATGTTTATGCACATCCATCACTAGAGTAAAGTTGTAATGTTTTCTCATAATAATAAAATATTATAAAACATACCAAGTCTTCTGCTATAATATTAATCCTTCCAATAGCTCTGAAAATGGCATCAAAGAAAGATAATCCAGGTCCTACCTATCATTTAAATGATATCGAGCAGATTATAGTTTAGCCAAACAGATCAAAATTATAACAAAATGGCAAGATCTGACCTTCCACTTTCCAACCATAGCTACTTTTGCTTCTGCACATTTATAGAGCATATACATGTTATAGAAACACCACACCTAGCAAAAAGCCAACATAAGTTTAGTGTAGCTCACCATACGGAACAGCCCAAAATCCAGCAAATCCTCTAAAGTGATCAATTCTAAATTCGTCATATAAATCCTGTGCACGCCGTAGGCGGCGTATCCACCATGAGTATCCTTCTTTCTCCATGGCATTCCAATCATACAGAGGGCTTTTTCATCAAATGGAGAAAATAAGAAAAGATAAGAAATCTATAATCAAAAGAGATGAAAGACCTATTACAAAGTGTTTCACAACATGTTAGCAACTAATACCAAAAAAGAAGTATAGAGGAAAATGCTGAAAAGGGGTTTACAGAAATAATCAGCCGGGATATATTGTAATAGATGGTTAAAGAAGCATGGAAAGATGAAATGAACTAAAAATCTAAAATGACAATGAGAGATGTCTTGCTGACCATTATAACAGAATAATCAGACATCTTTACAGAAAACAAAATAAATTTATGTCAAAATCAGGACTTGATTAAATAGCAAACATGGAAAAAGGTTCAGGTAGTACGACTAATATGGAAAGACATTTATCATAGGATTAACATCCAACCTGCCCCACAGCTGACCAGTATCACTGAATGCATCCGGTGGAACACCACTAACTAAAAGAGGAAAGCCTTTCCTATTCTGTAAGAAAAATAGAGAACATTTTAAGATGAGAAGGTACAAAATGCTCTGAAAAAGGGTTAGTTCACACTTCAGAGTGACAGCCATATTCCTTAGAAACTACTAACCAGTAAAAACTGGTTTTTATTTGCCCAAACATCCGCACTATGATAACCCACATAAATAGGCATGTCTCCCATTATACTGACTCCTCTGCTCTGTGCATAGTTGCGAACTTTCTGCCATTGCCTTTGGAACAAGAACTGTTGGGCAATAAATACATCTATCTGCATGCAAAAACATAAGTGACCCATCAAGACCACTTCCCGCTACAAGTATGCAAATAATGAGGAAGTGTTACGGATGGTTATAGCTGGAAGGATTCTTTCTGTTCTTACAAAATCTCTCTTTTGTTGACAAATATCTTCTAGAGCTACAAGATGGCGATTTCTTAAAGGTTCAGGCCAATTGTACCAACCAATTGTGTTTAAACTGTCATCAATAGCAGCGAAATAAGCTGCATCTTCAAGCCAGCCTACAACATTGAAAAGGAATTATACCATTACAAGAGGGAAGCCCTGAGTGTGTTTTGACTGCGGTGAAAGCCATAGAAACAGAGTTTAAATTAGTTAAAAGTTAAAACAGAGGCAAATATTCCTTATACATGTTTTGGGGAAAGAGATGCATAAGCACATTGTAACTGTTCGAGTCTCCTATTCCTAAGTCCTAACTGCTAATAAGCTTGGTGCTAGGAGTTTGCTCCTTGCTGGGAGAACTTTGCTCTTAGTCTTCCAGTTTTGTCCTTAATTTTTCTCCATCAATGCAGCCTTTTTTGCAAATTAGGATCTTAATCCTAAAACCCAAAGCCATCTCCACCACATGAGCATGACCTTTGAATTGATTATCTTTTCCATCGTTGAAAATTAATTACCGAGAGTATTTAGATGTTATTGCATATTCACATTGTGTTTGATTGGATTTCTCCATCACACCAAGAATTGGTTTCAAGATTCTACTTAAACATTTTCCCAACTGAATAATTGTTAGAAAAATAAATAACACGTTTAAAAGAGGAAATGATACAAACTGGAGGATCAAAATCCACCAAAAGCTACACACAAAAGAGAAAACAGAGAAAAGAAAAGCATAGGCTTCCAATGCATTTATGTGTAAATAAAGGACAGTCCAGTGCACGAGGCTCCCACCTAGTGGGACCTAGGAAGGGTAGATGCATGTACCTTACCCTCGCAAGCAAAGAGGTTGCTTTCAAGATTTGAACCCATGACCTCCAATTCATAAGGCAAGCAACCTTACTGTAGCACCAAGACTCACCCTCAATGCATTTATATGTAAAGACACTAATCAATTTAATTTGCATATTACCATCACTAAAGTGAAGCACATTTCTCACGAATCTAAAACAGAGCATTGCATGTAATCGATAAAACTAGAAGGGTAAGGTTATCGGCACTCAATTTCCTGTCCACAGTCCTCACTCCTCATTAACAACTGGTGATTTTATTTAAAAAAATTAAAATTATAATGAGTTAGTAGGGACTAGATAGGCACTGAAAGTGGCAATGGCCTCACCTAAGTTAGAATTTGAACTAAATGAGTGCCTTACTTGATATGGTAGGGTCCCTACGAAAAT